GCCCCACCCCACCGCCAGCCCCCCGTCCCCCCCCCTGCCTAGCCAGGGGCGAGTGTCGCTCAGCCCGCCCTCCCGCCTACCCGCAGCATGAGCGACGAGCCGGAGCTGTCCCTGCAGGTAGAGGCGTCCCCGGCGGCCGCTCGGCCCGCGCCCGCTGCGCAGACTCCGCTGCTCGGCCGTCTGCTGGGCGCACGAGCGCCCTCCCCTGCCATCAGCCTCCGGAACTTTGGTCGGGCACGAGGTGCCCCATGGACCCCGCACCTGCTGCGCTTCCGGGCGGAGGAGGGCGGCGACCCTGAGATCGCAGCTCGCATCGAAGAGGAGGGGTCGCAGTCCGGGGATGAGGCCCTTGAGCCCTGAAGGCTACTCGCCCGCCCCTGGGGCGGGGAGCTGTTCCTGCCAGCGCAGTTCCACCCATGGCCCATTCCCGGCTGGCCCCGCACTGCCCGCCAGCGCTGTTAGAGAAGTTTTTCCTGTGTAGCCCGGGCAGGAGCATTTAGGGAAGGACCTTGAGAGATGGCGGGAAGGGCCTGAGTCTGGGTGGGAGTCTCCACTTTGGCGAGAGAGAATAGGATGGATTGCTGGGAGCAGGTGACACTGGAAGGACTCCGGAGGCCGCTCAGAGAACTAACGCCCACTTGCATGGTTAGTGTCCTGGGCCACCTGCAGCTAGGCCAGTGGCATCAGCACCGCTGAGGGTCTTGCCAAAAAAGCACTGGGCACCCTCCCCATCCTTCCTGATGCTTTAGATTTGGGGGGAGCTCAAGAATGAGCATTTCCAATAAGCTCCCAGCTGATGCTGTGCTGCTGGCCAGGGATCACAATCTGAAAAATGCATTAACCACAAAGCTGCACCCAGCTTGGATGGCACAGGCAGACCACTGCTCACACTAGTCATGAGAAGCTCTGGTTTGGATTTCTGGTCTACCTGTGACCCAGGCTGTCAGGAAGGCTGGGAGGGGGTCAGGGATGACCCTGGAGAATACCTGTCTCTCTGCAAGAAATAAACTACATATAAAAGTGCTTTCAAAAAATACTTGAAGGGGAGCCAGTGGGTGGTGTGGTGAAGGTGCTGGCCATGGCCAACTGTGGTTTGAATCTCAGACCTGGTGGCTTGCTTTCTCCCTTTCTCTCTGGTCAAAACTAAAAAATAGTAATAAATAAAAAGAAAATCACTTGGAGGGGCCAGTAGGTGGCATAGGGGTTAATGCTCTAAACTTTCACAAGGCCAACCACGGTTGGAGTCTCAAGACTCTGGCAGCTTGAAATTCATGCCAGGTACATGTGCAGTATGCCCCCAAATCCCATGAGAATGGAAAAGACATTGCAGTGTGGCTGTCCTTTCTGTGGGATGATTTCTAATGGCCATCGCTGGACTCCCATGTAGTCGACTGCAGTTTGAGTGCTGGACCTGGTGGCTTAAACTCACGCCAGGTGCGTGTGCATGCATGCCCAAGATCTTGAGAGAATGAAGAGATGGGATTGAGGTGTGGCCATCCCCTCTGGGGGGTGATTTCTCACTTTCTGTCTCTTTCTGGCAAGCGCATGTGACCGAAGTAAAATAAAATTCTTAAAAAAACAAAACAAAACAAAAAAAAAACTACTGCTATCCACTGAGAACTCATAATGACAAAGATCTTAAGGGCAGGACCAGAAGTTAGCATAATGGCTATGTCGCTGGACTCCCACATAGTTGACCACGGTTCAAGTCCCGAACCCGGTGGCTTAAACTTACACCGGGCGTGTGTTCATGCATGCCCAAGATCCCGAGAGGAGAATGGAGGAGAAGAGATTATGGCGTGATCACCCCCTCTGGGGGGTGATTTCTCGCTTTCTATCTGTCTCTGTCTGGCAAGCGCAGGCACCCTATAGCAAAAAAAACCTCTCCAAAATCTTAAGGGCATGAACTACATGGATATGACACATTCCCAATAAAGGGAATAGCAAATGAACTTTATGTTCTGTACGGCTGGAGTGGCTGTGAGGCTGAGTGTGCCACAGAAAAAGGGACCAGGTCACATCAAGTCCCATACCACTAAGAATTTATGAGATGAGCAGCTTATACCAAATATCCAAGTGTTTCCATTGACCACTGGCTGTTGGAACTCAAAGTAGAATGCTATTGCTAGTAAACTAGTCCAAGTGACCAGGATGATAGAGATAGTTGGTGTTAAGAGGTTGCTGGACCAGGCTAATGGGTGGTTAGGGTGCTGGACTCCCACATGGCTGACCATGGTTTAAGTCCTGGACGTGGCAACTTGCTTTCTCACTTCCCTTCTTTTTCTGTCTGCCTCTCTCTGGTGAATGCAGGTGTACTGTAGTAAACAAAATAATAAAATAAAAAAGAGAGGTTGGACCAGTCAGATTTTGATACAGATGTGGAATGCAGGGTTAAGGGTTGATTTGGGGTTTTGATTAAGTAATTGTAATTAAGACAATTGGGGAAACTGAGGAACACAATGGGATGGGCCCTGCTAGATCGTATTATAATACCCAAGCTCAAATGACAAGGAAGTCTGGACTGAAGATGTTCCAACTGCTGTTTGGCCTTTGCAGCTTGAAAAACAAGCCTACTGGGACCAGCAGTTAGCATAATGGCTATGTCGCTGAACTCCCATGTAGCCAACTGTGGTTCAGGGACCCGGTGGCTTAAATTTACTGGGCGCACGTGCGTGCCCAAGATCCCAAGAGAACAGAGAAGGGATTGTGGTATTGCCATCCCCCCTGAGGGGTGATTTCTTGCTTTCTCTCTTTCTGGCAAGCGCACATGCCTTATAGCAAAAACTTCAAAAAAAAAAAACAAACCAAAATAACAAACAAAAACAAACCTAGTGTGCATCCATGCCCCAAATCCCAAAAAGGACTGAGACTGGGAAGAGATTGCAGGAGCATGACCACACCTCAAGGGGAATGCTTTTACCTTCTAAGCAAATTAAAAAAATTTCCAAGCTGACACAATTCTGAATAAATATGCATAATCTGGTTTCTGTAATGCAGAAAATTCTGAATACAATTTCAGTTTCTAGACTATCCATGAACCCAATTAAAATCTGAACTAGGGGAGGCCAGCAGGTGGCATAGCAGTTGTTGCTGGACTCCCACATGACCACCCATGGTTTGAGTGCCAGATCCAGTAGCTTCAAATGCATGCCAGGTGCATGTGCACATGCACCCAAGACCCCAGGAGAATGAAGAAGGGACTGTGGTGGGATTTCTTTCCCTCTCACATCTCTCTGGTGGGCACACACACCCTAAAACATAAACCTAAGAAAATCTGAACTGGGACCAGCAGTTAGCGTAATGGCTGTCGCTGGACTCCCATGTGGTTCGTGTCCCGGACCTGGCAGCTTATACTCACGCTGGGCGTGTGTGCATGCATGCCCAAGATCCTGAGAGAATAGAGAAGGGATTGCGGCGTGGCCATCCCCCCTGGGGGGTGATTTCTCGCTTTCTGTCTCTGTCTGGCGAGCGCATGTGCCCTATAGCAAAATACCCAACCAAACACCCCCCCAAGAAAATCTGAACTAGGACTAGGCAGTCATGGCAAAGGCAGCTAAGGTGCTGCTATCTGGAGGCTGAGGCACATGGGAAGCCTGAGCACAGTGGAAAACCTTAATGGGACAAGAATTGGACACAGTGTCTTTACAACTTTACAGGTCTGGCTAGATACCTCTGCCAGGCCTCCATGTCACATCCCTATTCACATCAAAATCCAGTAGGAAAAGTAATTCTACCACTGCAGCATACCTAACAGGAGGCCGGGCCTTAAGCCGGAAGCTGAGGCCAATGGGGCCTCTACAATGTGGTGAGCATGGGTGGGGACAGGAGCCAGGAAAGTGTTCTAGACACGACTGCATCAGTTCTGTTCAGCGTACCAAAAAGAAGAGCAAAATAACGGTCAATATTGAGACGTGAACAATAAACACCTTTATTACAGAGCGAAGATAGGAAGGTTTATTTGCCTTTCCGGGCTTTGATTTTCCTCAGGTAGAACTCCAGCTCCTTGCCCTCTAACACGTAGCCATCGGCACGGCCGCACTGGCCTGGTCTGGATGCAATGCAGGCTGGAAGAGAGCATGTGGCCCTTAACAAGATGAAAGTGGCCTGACACAATCTTATCTGTTCCCTTTAAAGCCCATGTTGATTAAGGTGTTCTGGAGGCAAGCATGAAGCCCACCGTCTCCTCAGACACACTTCATCATCACTGAAAAGTCAGTAGCAGAACTGGACGAAGTTTTCATCATGGAGACAGCCCCCTCCCTCAGTCTGGGCAGGACTTCCCCAAATATTCCTGAAACTCAAGAGGCTAAGCTCTAAGCATGGACCTGTGAACTCTTTCTACCCAGTGTTTCCCATTTCAGTTAAATGAACAGGACAGGGTAAAATGCAGAGGACCTGTGTAGCCATGTAACCCCCCACGCCCAACACGGGACCCACACATATCTCACCAAGCAGCTTGCCCTGCTGGAACTGCTCCTCCAGGAGACTGCTGATTTTGGCATTCTTTTTCCTTTCATCATATTTCTTCTGAATTTTCTTTGATCGCTTTTTATTTAAAATCTCTTCCTCCTCAGGAGTCTAAATGGAAGGGACACAAATGGGTTAGCACAAGAAAGGCAGGCCACTACAGCCTTCTCAAACCCTGCAAGTCCAAACACCTGCCTTCCTCAGCATTAAAGGCTTTCATCACTTTCCCTTCAGTAGCAGAACTGGACAGAGTTTTCATCACGAGAAGGCCGGAGTTGGGCCACCCCCCCAAACCCATACAGGGAGTAACACGCACCAGCTTGGCCCCCTTCTTGCGGCCCAGGGGCAGTGCATAGTGGGACTCGTACCACTGTCGGTACGGTGTGCTGTCAATGAGCACGATGCAGTTCTTCACCAAGGTCTTGGTGCGCACTAGCTCGTTATTGGATGCGTTGTAGACAACATCGATGATCCTTGTTTTGCGTGTACAACCTGCTCAGAGAAAAAATTAGAGTCAGGTCACATAACCAGAGAAAAAATGGCCTTACTGCACTACCAAGGTCTTTGGCCTTAGTAGGGCCTTAAGCAGCAGTAACCGACCTCTGAGCCTTTACCCAGCAAAACGGCATCACCTTGTTATCTACCAAACCCATCTATTCAGAGGTGCTTAGCAATCACTTGCTAGAATCACCCCCAACCCCCAAGGTTGCAGGAGTTAGTAAGAAAAAGACTTCTTCAGCTACTTCAAGATCTTTTAGTAAGGAGAAACTTCAAGTATCCTGGTGTGGGAATGCGAACTTTGTGCTAAAAGCACTCATTTTAGCTTAGAAAGGTTTACTTCCCACCCATTCCTCAAGGGCCTCACTCACACTCTGAACCCCAAGAAAAGTTCCCGACGTCCAGCCTCAGGGCACGGTATTTCTTGTTACCTCCCCGCACACGGACTGTGTGTATGCGGCGGGGACCAATCTGGAAAACACAAGGAGACAGAACTAGGTTACCCAAGAGGGCAAGGCAAAGGGGCTGGGGGAAATACCTGCGCAGAATGGAGGCAGCAGTCAGTGTAACTATGACAAGTCCTTGCATTGGCAAGTGGCACACAGGTGACCAAGACGGCCACAACCACGCCTAAGGATGCTTTTTCATCACCCTAGTGACCTCCAAAAGGAAACCCCTGACCCCCAAGCCCCCACAAGAAAGT